CTAGATAACAGCAACGCGAGGTGGAGCAAATCCCATCGAACTTTTGATCTCAAAATCGTTCAACTACTTTTCAAGTTTTAGTAAAAAGTAAAATAAGACGAAAAATTTCGAACGCAATGCGTGACATATACATAATGCGCGTGAAAAGTCCGAACGAAATGCGTATGTTTTTTTTTCGGCGTTCGTATTTTTGCTGTGTAGACAAACTTTTTTAGAAATTTTTCTACTGACACATTTTTGCTTGACAATTACCAGGTAAAATGCGTATTTGCGTACACAGGGAGCTCAAGTTGGAACTATACATAATCATTTAGTAAACTGGACTGGGAAATCAGAGGTCGAAGGGTTTTTCAATAAAATATATTCCAAAAATTCTTGACACCCAGTAAGTTGTAGGGTCGTAGGTCGAAGGGTTTTTAGTACATTCCGTTAATTATGTCTGTACAGATGTAAAATTATATTAACTCTACAGACATTCAAACAACACACACATGTGCAAATTATTGATTTATATAATGAATACAGGGCATCACAGACGTTTGTTTTAAGCCTGTACAGACGAGAAATTACGGCTGTGCATATGCAGGTCTACATAGGTAAATAGTCATATGCCAGTCTACACAGGCACAAACAGCGCATGCATTGGTCATAAGATATCATTTTGCTGACCAATCAGACACAAGGTATTAAGTAACGTGTTTTGTGTTCGAACACCGTTGATTGTGAACCAATCACTTTTGCTTACATAGTGGCACAGTCATACTTAAAGTCTGTTTTACAAGTTAAGGAAGTAAAACCTGCTATATATCCAAACACCTCTCTAACCTGAACACCTCTCAATATGATCATATTGCCAGCCCTATTTTTAATTTACCTCTTCACAAGCACAATTTCAAGTCTACATGGGTGTAATTTGACATCTTAGCTACACAGGCGCAAACATCAGGTCATAGATACTAGTATTCCGTAATTCCGCGGCGTGGACGGAATTTGACAAAACTTCAATTTTTTGCAGAACCCCTGATTTTCATGAAAATCCCGCGGAATTACCAGAATTTCCAGAAATTACATATTTTACGATCTCCTACCTTTGCGGGGTATTTGAAGAGTGTCTGTTTATGTCCAACAATCAATCATTATTGAGTACAAGTACGATTTTACCGTGAAATTCAACATTCTATCACGTTTAAATTCGCTAAAGCGAGTTCGCTAATGACGCGCAGTTCTTACCTAGAAAGTAGCTGACTTCCGTTTCCGTTTTCGATGGATAGGTTTGTGAAGAAAATTCCCTTGCTACATCAATTTTCATCGTTTTAAAAGATTGCAGAATTTGCTTTTTTTCTTGCAGAATTTTTTGCAGAATTTTTTCATGCAGAAAACTAGTATCTGTGATCAGGTGTATACACTGGCCAGCTTCTTCAATTGAGTTTGTACCTCTATTATAAAGGTTCTACTATTTTATTGGTCAATTTTCTGGTTACTATGGTTATGATGTCACCCAGGGCAAATTACTTGTTTTAGTAGGAAATCACGGAATTAAAACTTTAGAAAGACAATATTATGATAATATTCAAGCATCTTATTTTATCAAAATCATGAACAATTTATTATATAACAATGCAAGCATCTTATTTTATCAAAATCATGAACATTTTATTGCACAATAATGCAAGCATCTTATTTAATCAAAATCATGAACATTTTATTGTACAATAATGCAAGCATCTTATTTTATCAAAATCATGAACATTTTATTGTACAATAATGCAAGCATCTTATTTTATCAAAATCATGAACATTTTATTGTACAATAATGCAAGCATCATATTTTATCAAAATCATGAACATTTTATTGTACAATAATGCAAGCATCTTATTTTATCAAAATCATGAACATTTTATTGTACAATTATTGTATACATATTACTCTAAATCATTGTCACCATTAGCAATGCATTTTTCCCTACTCTGCAAACACATCTCAAAATCCATGAGAATTAATTTCTTGGAATGCTCCCACAACACAATTTCTTAAATCATCCATTGAGCTTTCTTTTAAGTTAACCGTACAAGTAAAAGTCAGTTGGGAGCAAATCAATGGAATATGGACATGTACAAGTTGTGGCTGTTCCAGTTCATCTATTGTACTCATCAGAATTAACTTGTGTGCTGGGGTGATATCCCAGTTAGAAAATATATCTGTACCCTCTATATACACTCCCACCACATGCTTGAAGATGTCAAAATAAGTAAGCATAAGTGCAAAATGGGAAAAGACCGATGTGAATCCATAAGGAAACAAACCTTAATATCTCTTCCAATGATCTAACACATCAAGAGGCAATCTCTAACATTCCCTCTCACACCATTCAGGAGCCCTTACCACAATCAAAAAAACAACAATACTATATTTATGTAATTATATTACATGCTGAAGAAAAAATTAAATAACAAGAATACCAAAACTCTGACACACATGTAAGATACAGCATTTGGGCTTCAGATGATTTGGGACAGGTTGATTCATTTGAACAATTTACCCTTGGCCCTTTCTCCTTAAAATACTTATATTAAAATGTGTTTTGAAACAGATTATTTTATGATTCAATATATATGTTCAATATACAGTATTATCATAGAGAGAACAACTACAAGGCCTAACATTTGACATTTCGTGTTGTGGCAAACATGATATTATTTATAATTTTCAATAACACTTTCATACCTTTAAATAGAAAAATGAATGCTACATGTAAAATAGCAGCCATTATTCAAAATGTATGCTATATCTGGCAAACTGTAAAAAATAATGTGTCATCATACTTAACAAAAGAGAAAATCAGGTTTTCTAAAAAATCAAGCTACAAAAACTAAATCTAAAATTCAAAAAAATCAGAAGAAAATCTGGATAGCTAAAATAAATCAGGATTTTCAAAAAAAAATTCAATAAATAGGGAGTTTTAAGGAGAAATTGGAGTGTTTCATTTTCATTTTTAATGAAAAATCAGGGTATCATTTGGAAAGATCGGGATTTTGGAAAATCTAAAAAATTGGGGTAAGCACTAAAAAGTCTGGATTTCTCCCAATTAAAATGTGGATTTGACAGGTGAGATGTTCACTATATCACCCAGCTCACTGTCTTACCCCCCTATCACACCAAACTAGTTCTTACCCGTTCTTGCCAGTCCTACGAAAATGTCGTAAACGGGCTTAATCTGGCTGTGGTCGGGAAATATGTCTAAAATAATTAGCTACTTCGTTCATAAACAGTCTTCAATACGTCCATCTCATTCGCAGTTCGTTCAGGTCGCACCACATTGGTGTGCAACGTCGTGTAACGCGTCCCTTAGTCTAGAAGGTCATCATGACCTGATTACAGAACGGTATGGTCGCCATCGAATTTTGAATCGATTCAAAATTCTAAAATCATCTTCCAGTCTGAGAACGTTCATGAAGTTCGTAAATAGACCTTAGAAAGTTGCAGCTACGTTCATTCTGTTCGCTCACAGTTTAAAACCAGTTTTGAAGAACGCAGTGACAACTTGTTTGGTGTGATAGCAATATTTTTGCTAACTCGTTCATAAGCAGTCTTTAATACGTTCTTAGTCAGTTTAAACCCGTTTGCAATTAGTTCTACCTCGTTCTCAATACATCCCCAGACAGTTCAACTCGTAAAAACGTCTCTAGTAGGTTGAAGTACAACGGTTTGGTTCGTAGTACGTCCAGCTCGTCGTAAGTACGTTGTCACTCATTCTTATTGTAGAATGTGACGACCATGAGAGCATTTTGAGCATGTTCTAAGTTCTAGAGGACCTACCTGTTCGAGTATGTTTGATGAAGTTTGTAAAAAGACCCCAAACGGTTCTAAGTACGTCCAGTCCGTTCATACACAGTTGAAGCCCGTTTTCGAGAATGTAGTGAGAACTAGTTTGGTGTGATAGTAGGGTTAATGACATTACACTGTTATTGATTCACTTTGAGATAAATACCTACCTCTGTTCTCCATATAATCAACTATACTAAACTCCAGGGTCCGTTTGAACTTTTTCTTTTTGGCTTTGGAATTTGCAGATGACCAACAGAATTCAACCATTTGTGGTATGATTCCAGCTATAACTGCTGCAAGAGCTTGAACAACAACTGGCAACTGAGCTTGCCTGTTATATGCCTGAACCACTGACATACTTGAATATATAAAAGATCCTATGATCGATAGGTATACCCCAGAAAAAAAGAGTTGAACTCTTAAAGGAAGATGTTTCTCCACTAAATGATCAAATATGTGTTGATTCACACCGGGAATATTTTCATAGTAAGTGATGTAAACTTCAGTTTTGTTAACTGGTTTTGATTTTTCAAGATGTTCTGAAATGTGAATAGTCTCATATAATAGGTCAATATAGCCATGATTGATATGCTTGATTGCTTTCCAAACATACAAGATAATGGTTGTGTACATGATAGTATAAGTGACTGCCTCAGAGGGGAAGGCCACAATGCCTATAAGTGTAAAGGAAATAGTCTGGTAGATATATGTCATAGAGACAGTATAAATAGTATAGAAGCAGAACAGAACATAGAAGAAAACAATAAAAATGAACAACCTCATAGTCCAAACCAAAATGCGATTCAGGAAAACATTTTGTTTGTTAACTCTTTTCCAACTAAACCGGTCAACACAATATTCAATATAATTGCCAATCAAATTCCTAGTCAAAAGCCAAATTGGGATTCCATAGACAATGATACAGGCAACCAGATCAAAAACAATAACTATGACACATATAAGCCAAATGGGGATCATGAGTATACATTGTATTGGACATTTTGGCCTTCTTCTGGATAAACCCTGCAATCTCATAAACCATGTGTGGATGAAAAGTTTCCAGAATTTCCAGTTGAGCAGCATGTATAATCTTGCTCGCATTGCTGTTGCAAACATAGACCATCCAACTTTCATTGATATGAACTCTAGTCCTCCTAGGTTCTCAATAATGGCAGGGTCCAGGCATTGAAGCAACTTTGATCCATTGGCATCTCCTAACCCTGCACAAAGTATTGCTGCAATGTTATTAGGGATGCAGATAATTGTTCCAGCCATTATAAAAAACAAGGAGTATATAACATAGGGTCCTCCTAAAAAGTACTTCCAATTACGACTACTGGCTTGAAATCCAAATGGTATTGCATTAAATCCAACTGGGATATCTTGCTCAATGCGACCAGATACAGCTCTGTATTTATATTTGAAGAAAACAGCCATCTGAATATAAATGAATATTGGTGCAAGCACAATCAAAAGGAAAACTTTTGATAAACGTGCTATAAACAATGATTGAGCTGTAGAGAATTTCCTATAGCACCATTTCAATGTGCTCAAAACTGTGATTGGTGGCTCATCTCCAAGATAAAGAATATGTTCATCAGCTTTGGCCTGCTCATTGTTTGTAGTTTCTCCCTTTATTTCTTCATAGTTTCCATGCTTGTTGTCTATCAATTTATCAAGTTTAATTGCTTTGGTTTCATTCTCCGGTCTTTCGTCAAATACATGTAAGACTATGGGACTGTAGCACAATAGAAAACCTCCGCAAATTTGAAGGAATATTAACCAACGAGTTTGATGATAAGTTTTATTAAACTGATATGGATTTTCCGGTTCACTGCATTGAAAGCCACTAGAATCTCTATTTACTCCAATAACATGTACAATAAAGTTATAAAATTGTGTTAATTTGAATCTAATGGCGTAGCACCAAACTGTTGTTTGTTGATGGTCAGTTGCATCTGTTAAATTACGCAGCATGATTAGTAATTGTTCCATTGTGTCTGATGCTCCCCATTCAGCTTCACAGCCATCTGGACTCACTTCAACATTGACAGAGAGATAGTCATACACGTACCAGGAAAGGAATCCAAGTGATAACACATCAAAGTCAAATGGATAAAACAATATGGGGTATCCTGCACCTGCTTCTCCTTTGAAAGTCCATGTAAGAAAGGCAGGGAACAAAAACATGCTGTCTTTTTTAATCAATGGCACTTGAGAAAAATTCAATTTTATGTACATGAAGTTCACATTTTTGATCTGCACTAAATGTAGAAATTCATTCGCAGAATTTTTAGCAATTCTGTAATTGCATATTGTTTTATTTCCAAATTGATTTCCAGGTTCAGATTTCACACTGCCTTCATCCTTGAAATTCATAACGTCAGTATTTTCTCCAGTAATGCATTGTGTCATCATGACAAACACTATCAGAAACTTGGTATAATGCGCCATTGATACTTCACGACAATATTTCAAATTCCAGGAAGATAAGCAATTCCTGCAATCGAGCAAAATCTTGTTCTTTTGAAACAAAACTGCTTTTAGGTCAAGTTTCAAAAGGTGATTCATAACTGCCTTAGTGAACCGATGAACAAGGAAGTAGTTGAGGTAATCATAATGATCTCATCTTTTTGTTTATGTAATCAACTTATCTATTATGTTTTCTGAATTGTATATCCTTATCATAATTTTCTGGTGACATCTTTGATATTTGCTTTTTCCATGGTTTTAAAAATATATTTTGCATTTAAGCATATTAATGTCAGGAACAAATACACCGTATTTCAAAATGTACACTTCTGCAAATATTTGTAAAAGATAAACCTTTACAAACGTACGTATATAAACATTTTTGAAAAAACTATACCTGGCCAAGTTATATCCCAGTATAAATAAAATATGGAGACAAGTTGTATTCCCTACTTTTCGTGGGAAAGTATCATGGCATTGTCTTATCTTAGTAAATCTGGTCAATGCCAACTCCATTAAATACCAATATCTAAAAGAATATTTCAAATGGGCGCGGTTTCAATTACTTAATTTATTCAAGTTTCTCATGTTGGATCACCTACAATCCATTTCTAATTTACCTTACCCAGAGATGCAACAGGGATGATTTCAAGTACCCAGAATAAATATAGTTTTCAAATCAAATCAAATCAAGGAAATACACCCATGCCTTCATACTTGTACCAGAAAATAATGTGGGCAGGAATAAGATCTATAACAGTGTAACTTTCAGTCAGGGGGGGTGCGATCATCAATTTGGTTTTCAGTTGGGGGGGGTGCGATCAGGGCATAAGCGGCCCAGAAAATTTGTTTTGAATTTTGAATTTTACAAAAATTGATGCAACTTCCTTCAAAATTGAGCTAGAAGCTACAAATAAAAAGCATACGCCTATGAGTGTTATAGTTATATATATTCCCCCCAAAGGTAATGCCCATTGTGAGATGGAGGACAGCAATAGGTCAAGATGACATTTGGGTTAAGTACAAAATAGCAACGTGATATATCAATTGTTTTAAAGCATCATAAGTCTTACTTAACCTTTAGTGCTACGAAACATTATCTTTCATTGTGAAACTAAAACTAGATGAACACACCAAAATACAAAATGTCTTAATTTCAGTTTTTTATGAGTTCCCAGAACTAGTGCAGGTCCATGCTTTATTTATTCATTTCTTATGCACCATTCAAAAGTTTGCGTGAGACCCCCCCCCCATGCGGGCATGGGTGGGGAATTTGACAAAAAAAGTTTTGGCCTGTCTAATTCCTTACCCCGGGGCCAAATAAATGTGTCAATTTCCCTACCCTTGGTGCAATAAATCTGGTCAAATATTTGCGACCCCCGGGTCCTTCCACCATTTGAAATCTATTTTTAAACATCAGATTTTCTTGTTTGTTGACTGGATGCTCGTAAATTTTGAGTGATACACGTGCAGTACTTTGTTTATGTTAATATTTTGATTAGAGACAGCATATATAGTCATATGATTCTTCGCGGAAAGTCCACTACATATGATACAATTAATTTATGAATGAAATGTTTGCTTACGATTTACATTTAACCAATAGAGAAGCAGCTTTTTAAATGACGCAATTACCCGCGAAATTAGAAGCCAATGAGAGTACAGTCCATTTTATGACGACGTTTTCATTGACAGTGTCATTAGACAGTGTGCCATTCTTATAGTATTCACATACCAAATATGAACAAATTTGCTCCACTACTTTTCGAGTTAGAGCAAAAATCGTAAAATAGCGAGTAAAGGCTGCCATTTTCAAGATGGCTCCCATGTGCTTCTTTAGGATCTACATTTCTAGCTTTATTAATGTTCTATATAATTCTTTTACATTTAAAACATATTGCTATTACAGTTTTACATATTGCCATTTTTTGAATGAGTTGCGATTTTGAAAATTGGCTTTCCAACAGAACTCTTACACCCATAGGGTATAGAAAATATGAACAAAATCAGGCCAACCGTATTTGAGTTATTGCCTGGACGGAGGCGTTCCCTATATCCCTCTGAACTTCGTTCAATGGGATAAAAAATAAAGAAAATTGGTTGATAAATTAGTGAAAAATGAACTCATCCATGCATGGAAGTGGTTCAGAGAAAAATGCATTTTAAAATTTTAGTTCTCATTGAAACCGATGGTACAATAATATTTAAAACATAATATATATTCTTCCTTTCAACCTAGTTAGACAATCAACATTGGATTTCTTTGAAAGTTGCACATATCAAGAAAAGATTTTTTGCAAACTAAAGGACAGCACAATGATGTCACTTAGGGAGCATAATTCTATTAAAATGTTTAAAAAAGAAGTTAAAAAAATTAAAACATTTATGTCACACATTAGATATGGGATTTTATTGCTGAAATACTATATAAGTTCTTCATTCAATCTTCACAAAAGGTGTTAAAAAAGATGTGTTTTGCACTGTATAGTGGAATATTTGATGATTAATAAAAAAATCAATTTTTATTTGAAAAGTGGCGGGAATTAATAATTGCGAAATAAAAAGCTGACAACTTTTATATTTTTTCAAAAATCTCCAAAATAACTTTTAAAGTCATGAAAAATAGTAAATGAAATTATAAAAACTTTACATGGGAGCTTTAATTTCTACAATAATATGTTCTCTCTCTTCAATGTGGTCACAAGGATCAACCTATATTACACATTTGTGGCAAATTGAGGACTTTGAATCAACAATAACTATACCATGGCCTTTAAGGATATGATAATATGAACATGTTACATTTTATGTTTTTACACTTCAACATCACCCTTCCTTGTATTGTTCATAAGTTTACATTATTGAACTCTACAGGTATGTTCTAAGTCAAGTAATACAAGCTCATGAGCATATCAACTTATCACATCCCCTCAAAAAAATGTAATTTGTATAACCAAAATACAAAAAGTCTATAGCCTGAAGAACTAGATGTAACATTGGTAGTTTAGGTTACAGAAACCATAGCACGTATAACTTTATCATCTGTGATTTGTTATATAGTTATATTGTATCAATTTCTAAAATACTTCAATATATAAATGGGAAATAAAGTTATCAATAAATATGCACAGAACATCAGATGATCAGACCACTTTGAATGATATCATCTTTATAGATGCTAATACCAAATGTCAACACATGTGAGCCAATGAGTGTTGATATTTGAGGCGATAAAATGATCTTATATTGGGTTTTCCCATGATTACAGTCAAAAATTCAAAAAATTTAAATTCATTTATCAGATATGCGGCTGATATAAGATACTAGCCACATATCCGTCTGATAAACAATTTTCTAAAAAATATCACACAGATCTCTTTAATATCAGAAAAACATCACTATCAGTTGTATATTCAGCTGATAAAAGCTTTTCTGAAAAATATTACATGCCTCTCCATAATATCAGATCTATCACTGGCTTTAATTGTACAGATAACAAAAAATGCAACTGCCATTACATTATGATTCCTAGTTTTATATCAGAGAATATAACTTCTTACCTTTCCCAAGGCTCGTCCTCTTACTTTGTGGTGATCGAGTTGGGGTTTCCACAAAAGTTTCCATACTCAATGTTCTTGATATGTCGTAGGAACCTCTCACTTTAGAAGATAACACCTAGAATTACATAGAAATATCTACATATTATACTACACAATGTGATCTCATTTATTCTTATGTAATATAACAACTATATATAAAAAAATAAAAGTATAATTAAACCAGAGACATATATCGGGTGTCCCAAAAAATTAAAATCTGATTAAGCCAAGATATTTTTTGAAGGAGCAATCTATGCTAGGCTCCTTTTTTCTAGTTCAGTTTTTGTGCATCCGCAATAATGGATGTAAAGTAATTTACTATCACAAAAATGAATGTACATGTAATTCATTCTAGATGGTTTCTGTGGTTCATATATCTTAAACACCATGCAAAACAATGTATATTCTTGGAGTTGACAGATAACGACATGAAAATTTGTTTGTTTTATTTTGTATGATTTGCTATCTGTAACTCCTGGGTGAATAAAAAGAAATGAAATTCCCTATTTACAGCTAGATTGCAGCACCATCTAAACATAAAAAATATATTTCCAATCTATATGAGCAATGTGCATGCTCAAGATAATTACTAATCAATAAAATTGATCAGAACTAATATTTTTGCGAAAAAAACAACAGGAAAGCAAACTGGACCCAAAAAGTGCCTTTCAAATGTACCATTACACTGTCTCTTAAAACATTCCAAATAGCTGCCATGTTGATGGAGTCATGCTCAAAACCCTTCCAGCTGTAAAACCAAGTATGGCAAGGGAGATCTTCAAGTGCAGCAAAGAATTTTTTGAAAAAAGACAAGAACTTTTGCTTTTCATTTTTTTCAACAGATCCGACTTTGTCCAAAACATTTTTAGGAAGTCATCTGGAAACAATTCTAATTAATTATACATAAATACAGACAGACACGTAAAATATTTGGGTATATAAAGCATTAACATGCAAAATGTCACTACCTGCCATTTGTTACAGACATTGACTGCCGATCACCAAACGCCAACAGCCATCCATAAAAATGTTGGAGACTACAAAAATATGTCACCACTTCTGGTGGTGACATAATAAAAATATGTCACCACTTCTGGTGGTGACAAAAAAAAAATCAAATCCCAGACCTACCCTGATATGTTTATCATCTTCCATAACTTCGAACTCAAATTGTTCACTCGGCAGCAACATCCAAGCATAGGGAGAGATGACAACAAATCCAGATTCACAAAATTTCTCAGCTAGGTTAACGTCATCTACTGTGATCCCTGTGGTGACATAATGCCTGAATTCATCATTTCCTATATATGTGACACACATCTCCCCTGCAGCAATACCTACAATCAAAGATAACGTTCTAAGGGCCAAGTCAGATATGTGTCATACTTATGCAAAAGAGGGGGATGAGGGGGATGTAAAAGCACCTTTTTTATTTCACATGTTGATATACAAGTAAAAGTGCCAAAAAGAGAAATACCAAAAATACATATCAAAAAGAAAGAAAAACAGCCTTGTAAACAGAAACAGTGTCTAACACCCCTTTCTCACCATTTGAGAGCTAGTCAATATCACAATCCAAAACTGCAAGACCATGAGACCTTTCATTCCCACTAAGATCATTAAAATACATCTTGAAGCATGGCCAAACTTACCAAGCTTCACGCGCAATTTTACACCAACATCTGTTAGCCACTCTCCACATCTATCTTGGATCCTTAAGGCACAATGGATGACGTGTTTGATGGCATCACGCATCGTCTCAGGCTCCAATCCATCTACTGACCATACAGACAAAATAGCATCACCTGGAACAACATGAATTCATGTACATTTTTTCATCATTTTTTTCCCTACAAAATGGCTATAGAAAAATGCTCCAAAAACAACTTTTACACTTATCAAATATCATACAAGTTTGTAAAACCAAAGATTATACTATTATATTTCATTATGTAGTAACATATTTGGATAAGATGCAGGGATGCGTAGGATGTAAATGGATTTTGACAGACACAAAAATACTTCCTGGTTTGGAATCTATGCCTCTACACTTCATGATTGAATTATGACCCTAATAAGTGGCCTATACATCAATACAGTGCTGAATATAGGTCAACAAGATACTAGTGTGCATATAAATGTAATAATTGAAGCAGAATACTCATTTTGAAAAATCAGATGAATTATTTTTTTCCCATGGGGAGATCCCAATGGAGGGTGTATAAGGTCCTTTACAGATTTTGATGCTGACAAGGTCTTAATGATCACAAATGCAGTTTTTTCCTTTTTATGTAAGTTTGAATGTGAAATTAATTAAAGTGTCTTCAATTGATAAAAAGTATGTGTTAAAAGCTGAAAAATTTAGCCCTTAGTTAGAGTATAAATTAGGTCAATCTCTGAAAAGGGGTATTAAGGAGCTGTACTGCTTTTTATTAACATTGTCTCTCACTGAGCCTTTGTGTACACTTTGTACAGGGTGTCCCGAAAGTATGGGGGCCCCCCTAGACAGACATACACCAATGTTCCCATAGTATGTGTCATATATCATTTTAAAGCTTATCCAAAGTTACATTGATTTGCCGAGTATCATTGTTCAACTTACAAATGAGAAAAAGTTACAGGCATTTCAAAACTTAGTGTTTGGCCAAAATTAAAGTTAAAATCAGTATCCTGGAAACACCGCTAACCTGAATGTGATTAAAAATATGGGTGCTATCGTCAAAGAGAGGATGAATATTGAGTTGTAAAAAGAGGTTAATAAGGGCAGATACTCCAAGGAAACTCTTCTAAAATGCCTTAAAAAGGTTTTATGAGGATTATAAAACACGCTGACTATTAATTTTGTGTAAAACTAAACTTTAATTTTGGTAAAACACTATATTTTGAAATGTTTGTAACTTTTTCCCATTTGTGAGTTGAACCATGATACTTGGCAAATCAATGTAACTTTGGACAAGCTTTAAAATGATATATGACACATACTATGGGGACATTGTGGTATGTCTGCCTAGGGGGGGGGGGCCCATACTTTCGGGACACCCTGTATATATACAAGCAGTGCTCTGCCCAGAATCTTTTTTGTGTAGGATTTTTTTGTCAAACATTTCAGAATTCTGTAACTTTTTGTGGAACATTTTTTGAATTTGTAATTTTATACAACATTTGAAATTTTTGTGCAACATATTTGAATTTCCTTATATTCTTTATTGCAAAATTTCATATTTAACCGAATTGAGGATCAGTTTGGTGATATGAAATACACTGATGTGCTGTACCTCAAAGATTTCAATGTGGGGAGAGCACTGAGTAGAAAATTCAAAGTTACCAGCAAACTTAAGAATATCTGCATCTGCACCAATGATTTCTGCCACTAAGGCCTCTAAGTAGCCATTCAAAGTCTTTGTCAGTTGATCAACTCCTATCTTTGCATTCATACTGTACCGCTCACTCAGGGCCGTAAATCCTGCAAGGCAAAACATAAGAGTTGGCTAAATATTAGTTTGTTATAAGTTTGTTTCTACACACATATTCCATTCTGACTAATTTTGTAACTTTTTTGTAACATCTTAAAAATTTACAACAAAGTATGATAGCTATCACAGTTACCCTACAGTGTAGATGTAGTTCAGTATCTTGTAATCCACCTAACAAATCACCTAATTGTCATTTAAATATCAAATTCAGAACTCACCAGAAATATCAGCAAACATGAGGACTCCATTGAACTTGATGTTATTTGGGAATGGCTTGCTGTGATCATGGTTGTTGACAAGGTCAGGTACATGAGTAGCTAACTGGTTAAGCTTGGGTGTTGACTTGGCCATCTTCCCAACAGACCTACCCTCAGGCTAAAAAATGTTAAACACTTATATTAAAGGGACCCAACACCATGGTCACATGATCAGTCGTGTGGAGGTAAGCTCCCAGTTGAAATAAAAGCACTGTCCTCCTTTGGTTTCTTTGAAAAGTAGCTAATACCCTCATGTATTGGTCAGTTTGTGTGTCATACGACTAATCCATACCATATGCTTCATTCAACATATTTAATGCTATTGAGCTGCATATATAAACAGTACTTTGCAACTAAGGTCATACAGTATACTTACCCCTTGCAAATTGTAATTTATTGAATTCACAGTAAACCCATCAATTTTTAAGAAAACAAAGAATATTGTTCTCATGGATCTATTATTTATGTTAGACTAACTATGAAAATATAAATATGAAATAATATGTTAGCTTGAAGTCATATATAAGATGAAAATATATGTTCATGCATTTGCATTTTTCCAAAGGGAATATTCCCATGTAAGTAAATTAAATACAGGTGCAACATATAATTTATATGTATATCTATGTCATCTGTCTATACATGCGCGTATAGCCTAGTGTTACATGTGAACAAGATGGTTCTGGAAAGAAATGAGCGTGTCAGATTTGCTAAAAAGCCACATACACCACAAAAGCAAGACCAATTTGAAAGTAAGTTCATTATTCTCAAGGGTACACTTCAAGTGAAAGCTACATTGCTACAGGGTGGCCTATATTCTGAGACAAATGTATTATCCAACGATTGTGATTTTCGAAGCTAAAATGTGATATCTTGAGCAGATGGAAATACATTCCCATGAGATATGTATATATAGTCAAAAGTGATAACTATTTATTGAGTGTAATGAAATGTATCCTTCGCTAACTGCTTTTGTTTGAGATAATTATCATGAAATATTTTTTAATTGATTTTTATGTGTGTCATTGATCCTAATCCACCCTGTAGTCTGGTGTTTGTAGAGCATTGCGACTCGTACAACTTATTCTCACAAATATCAAACCTCATTTACTAATTAATTTTTTGTGTGAATATGAAGAGTCCAAGCATTGCTTTTTTATGTTTATTGTATAGCTATATTTAGCCTTGATATCCATGATTTTTTAAAACAAAATCTCACCGTTAGATTTCGAGCTATTCATGTTTACTCATTTGTCTAATTGGAAAACAATGCAAATCTCATTTTTTCAAAAGAAAAAAAATTGAAATTCTAAGACGGTGAAAAATCATTAAAAAATACACAGATTCAGAATCCAGCAAGCATTTTCCCTTACTCCTCTCCGTTAAGAAGTTTTGTAAGGTGTTGGGTTCCTTTAAGGTGATGTTTTCCAGAAAAAGATTTTGAAAAGATTATATACAGTACACGTACCTGTATATTCCTCACTCTCTGATTGGTTTATACCCTACAAGTGACAAAAAAATAAAGAGATGTGATATGACTTCCGTTGAATATCAAATGATATTCACCAGTCAGGACTTAATCCAGTGAAATTTCAATTCTATATTTTCCCGGGAGTACATGTACATTGTAATGCTTAACTTGACATCAATTGTATGTTATTCCATTAATGTGAGTGTTTGCACCTGTTTGCACCTGTTTGCATTATGATATTGGTCATACATACTAGGATATAGACCAGAAAATCCATTGTTCTAGTAATTGTGACGTCACATAACCTATTACACCCTTGGTATACGCAGCTAACGAAAATTGACCGGTATGGGTCAAAAGCTGGACCCGTACGGGTTAACGGTTTTATTTGAATTTAAAATAGCCATAACTTGCTCAATATTGACTTCCTCGTGTCTAATTTGAAATATATGATGCCTCCCGATGCTTTTAAGTACCCCAATTTTTTACAGATTTTTAAACGGTCCAAAACTCTCTAAATGCGCATTTATGCTCTTTTCTCTCGAGAACGACTGTCTCATTTTCACGATAACTTTTATTTAGTACTTCTAACATATAAGATCTATTTTTCCCCATCAAGGTATGATGTAAATGACATGCTATTTACATCTTGTGAGTTTCAATGACGCGCGTTTGATTTTATAAAAAATGCCAAACTTTGTGACAAAGAATTTCATCCTGCTTGCAGCGAGAAGACGGACCGGTTCGGGGCAATCTGCTTGCAGCGAGAAGACGGACCGGTTCAGGGCAATAGCTGATGAAATTCATCTATGAGAAAAATACTAGTAATTGCTTTCAATAAGCATACCCCCTTCAATAAAGTTTGCAGTTACCATTTTACCATGTAGATTTGAAATAAAAACTAAAATCTTGGGGAGGGAAACTCTAAAACGCAACAGCTGCATAAATTAAGCAGGTTGACCATTCACTTAGAGCCACTTTAATAGGAATGTTTATTATAGTGGGAAAGGAGCAGGGAAAGTATCGCAACAGACTTTTGATAATTTTGACAGTTGATAATTTTTTTGTGAGTAGTTTCTGGCTGTAAAAAGTAAATGCTTGGGAAAGGCGAATCTATAATCTTCAAGAAAAGTTCAAAGAATAGTTTCCAGATCAATTGGATTATCTTATAATCCATGTTTAATCCACCCATCAACAAGCTTTTTCAAAATACATTCGTCATTTTCACCATCGTCCCTCATTTTTTTACAATTTTTCATGCAAAGTTACATTGTACTTGAACACATGTTTCATCAAGTAAAATATGTAAGGAACTCCATGAAGTTTGTTTTTGAGTTTTTTTTGAAAAAATGAACCTCTTAAAATGCATGTTTACAAAAGTAATTTAGGAGTGATGTAAAAGATGGCAATGTTTTTCAATAATAACATGCATAGGTGGGTGAATTACTCATGTGTGTTGTGTTTTAATCCTGCATTCACTGACTGAGTTAGCCTATTGAAAAATCATAGAGATTAATAATACAAACAGTAATACTATGAATACTTCTACTTCAAGCTCAAATAGCGCTTTTAGGGTCCTGTGTTGAAATACTAGATCACCTTATGTGCATGAATTTTCAAGAGAAACCATCAGTGCAAGCAATTAAATGAAAGCCTCATCCAAACATCACTTGAAAAGTACTAAAGTGGTGAAAAATTGCAGGATGTTGACAGAAAATGTGCCTAGGGGAGAGGGTCGTCTCTCAACCCCCCTCCTCCCCCTCCCTGGTCACGGGACTAATACATGTGATATGGCAAAGTCCAATTCATAGATTAAATTTCCCTTGCAGTCTTGTTGGCATTTTTATTAGAGTTCATGTTTTGTTTATGTTAATGGGTGAGTGGAAGACCCTTGGGTGGGAATCAAATATAAAATGTTTTCTAAAATATATATTTGAAATACTTTGTGTATGTACATGTACAGTCACAAACTCTAGGCAACATTAACTAGTAATGGGGCAACACCCCAACTCAACTGAGTGAATGTGTAAACCATATAAGGAACAAAAAACATTACATAAAACAAACTCAGCATGCAAACATGTAAAACTGGCATGGCAAAACAATAGATTGTGAAACTGAATAATAAAAGCACATACGACTAGAAAACAAGGGATTAAGGACCTGTTAAAATGAAATGAATGGGGATTGGTCAATATGAATAGTAGAAATATGAAAAATGTGAAAACTTTACATTTAGTATTGATCATGAACATTAGAGAGGTTAAGTACACAGGCTCGTAGGCAGGTAGAGGGGGAGAGATAAAGGGAGCTGCTGCTCCCCCAAGAGATTCTTTCAAAATGATGCAGTTTCTCACCAATCTGAGCACTTCGCATGATTTTTTAGCCAAAACTGTCAAAAAGTTCATCCCTAGGCAAAAACTTTGCCCTTGGTAAAACTGCTCCTACCCCTTGGTAAAAGCTGGCTACAGACTTAGTGTAAAACACTTGTGTGAGAACTTGAACATGAACGAGTACTGTTATGACTCAGTCGGTAGGTTTACAGATTATATTCTGTTTCTTGTAGACCACCTGGCAGACTTGACCCAGTCTTTATAACCATCCATATATACGTCACCGAATGGAACTAGTTTAAAAGGAAATCTTATCTGTGAATATTGCCTACAGGCGAGAAAGAGGACATGCTGCCTTTCCCATCCGCCATTTTTTGTTATCGTTACCGCAAAATTTTGCAAATCGCCTTGATGTAACCGTCATGCTATAATACCGTGAATAGGGGACCATAAGTTTACACATTCCATGTGTACGTTCATCAAAATAGTGCGATCTTAACCTCCCTAATAACTGAAATTGTTGACTCAACCAATAGAATCATTCTATGTTTGTTTATATTTGTTCACATTAATATGGAAGAAAATCTGACATTTTGCTAAAAAGATGTTATTGTAAATCTTAGAAATAATGATAAAGGTAGTATACACCACACACTCAATGGTATTGATTGTGGTTTTCAGAGACTCTCAATAGGGACTTTAAGCTTGCAATGTTTTTCAAAACCTAAATGTGAATGGAAAATATTTAGCGATGCTCTGTATGGGCGATTGGTCATAGGTTGGCGTTTCGATTTTATATGCAAGCTAATCTCCCTAATGTTAACATTAAGGTATGAGTGTATGTTACTCATAACATTTTCTTAGGATAACATTTCTTGAATTGATGAATATGCAAAAATTATTCTTAGCATATCATCCTTCATTTCATTATTTGAATAATCAATCTGGATATAAACTCAAATAAGGAAGTGTGTTATAACACATCATCATATAGAAACATGTTCAATGTTTTTTCAGAAGCTGGATCAAAATCATAGGCCAAGGGTAAAGTAATAGAAAGCAGTATATAGAAGAGACAGGTGAACAACTCTGACTTAGACCACTTGTTGAGATGGAGATTTCAACAATATTTAGTGTATTATTTTCAAAAAGCAATGGGCAGTTGATAGAAAATTGATAGTTTGTAGCTCTTACCTAAGATTGAAACTCAGTCAGATGGTGTAGAGTGAATAATGCTGTCTAAAAGAGAGAATTTCTGAAAACCTGCAATTGCCTGGCAAGTTCATTAGTAAACAAGTGATCTGATTGGTGGTCACTGCTGACCTCCCTGACCTCCACCAGTGACAATCAGTTTCAGCTTGCCAGGCAATTGCAGATATCCATAGTTATTGTTTTATATGCAGTATTATATGCAGTTTTTAGATAAAGATTTGAAAAAAACAATGATATAAGTTTGAAAAACACTTTGAAGAAGATTTTGGAGAGATTTGGGAATACAATAAAATTTGAAAAATTTTCAATCTTACTTGTGGACCTGTCTCTTCTATATACAGCTTACTATTACTTTTCCCTTGGCCTATGATCAAAATATTTGTCTTACTAATTATAAAATAATTGGCAAAGGTATGATGTACTAAATTCTTGTACTGTATTTATGATTTTAATAGCACTGTACCTCGTGAATCATTACTGATAAACAAGATACAGAAAACCTGTTCAAAGTAAATGCTATAATAAGGCATCATAGAAATTATCATAAAGAGAGGTATTTAGAATTTCTTAGCAACTTACACACACACAGGTTTAACTGCACTCAAACATTAAACAGTCAACTTGACAGGTATTCAGAATTTTTGGGGAAATGCTGCGGTTATGCTCCATTGATTAAACAGGGGATCAAACAGCAGGGGATCAAACAAGTCCAACCATTCATTTATGAAAACATTTTGAACTAACTTTATGGCACACTAATGACATCTTATATGAGTGTGCTGTACTAAAAGCATAGCCCCATTGGATCCCCTTATATTGGATTATCATAATCCTAATCCACGAGGAGTTCCTTATATATTTTAAGTGATGAAACATGTGTTCAAGTACAATGTAACTTTGCATGAAAATTGTAAAAAAAAATGAGGGACGATGGTGCAAATGACGATTGTATTTTGAAAAAAGCTTGTTGATGGGTGGATTAAACATGGCTAATGAGATAATCCAATTGATCTTGAAACCATTCTTTGAATTTTTCTTAAAGATTATACATTGGCCTTTCATATGCATTCATTTTTGTACAGCCAGAAAGTACTAGAAAAAAATTATTTACTGTCAAAAATCTGTTGCGATACTTTCCCTCGCTCTTTAAATTTGAATGTTGAAACAACATGATTGGTATTGGTATATGATTGGTCTGATCACATGACTACCAATGTTTATGTTCTCATAAGACAACATGTTTTCTCTGAATTGTTTGACTTGAAACATTCTTCTAAAGCTAATTCTGTTTACTTTTGAGTCAGAAAAATACTATTTTTTGAGGCAAATATATCTGTGTCTATTATTCTGGAAAGAAGGATAGTCCTGTATGATCCAGTTATTTTTATATCTTATTTTAATGTCATATTAAAGGGGGGGGGGTGGGGCGTTGTTTAATTGCTCGCGGGACATGGGTTTAGTTATGGGGAAGAAATTTCTGTCTTATCAGGTGCTTATCAATTCCATTCTTGAATTGATTTATTTCTGTGGTGTCTATTACGGATTAGGGAAGATTGTTCCACGTAAGAGGTACCTGCGCTACCGCTGAGCTACACGGGTGGACTATTTTATGTGTCGTGTCTGTGTTTAATTTATGTGTCATTTCCTGCCCAAAACAGGACTAGTACAAATTTCATATGGCGAGAACTAATAATTTTTAGTAGTCACTCTTGGCAAGTATGAGCTGAAAACGAAATCGTAGACTGTCTAAGTTCTAGAGGACCTACCCGTTTGAGTACGTTCGATGAAGTTTGTAAATAGATCCCAAACGGTTCTTAGTACGTCCAGTCCGTTCGTACACAGTTGAAGCCCGTTTTCGAGAACGTAGTGAGAACTAGTTTGGTGTGATAGTAGGGTTAGATAAATTATATACCTTTGCTTGGTGAACTTTTCTTATATGCATAGTGCATACTCACATTACATGCATTAAAAGTGAGTAGGTTGAAGACAAATTAACCTTCATATTAAAAGTGCACAAAAAGTAGAAGTATTTGTGTATACATGTAGTTATTTGTCTTGAAAAATGAAATGAGTGATGTAACTTGTACTTGTCTTTGTATAGGCCTATGTAAATAGACACTGAAATGTTAATAAACTTTGTTCAAAGGAAACCAATATTAATGTTATATTATTTCTACAATTTTTATGATTAAGAGACATCTTCCAAGTAAAACATTTGAAACTGGTTTTATAATATAAAAATGCATTAACTGTTGAGTGATTCTACACACCCTCCAAGTAAATTGATTAAAAGTTGTATTTTACAATTCCTGATTGTAAGTCCATTACAAAATGATATAAAGAAGTTATTCACCAGGAAGAATTTGATATTGGGAATATCACAAGGATTATATCAACCGAGGGATATTCCTCATATTATCCCGAAAGGTGAATAACAAACTTATACCCTGGTCAAGAGCAATGTCTACCAAAAGTCCTGTGTTGAATGAAAGAAAAAAATTGCACTTGATTCATTTTTGAAAAATAGAAAAAATGTAAGGGGGGGGGGGTAATAACGTGTATATAAGACATGATAAGACATGCTACTTGAATTTATTCTTATGACTCCAAATTTTCCCATTTTTCATTCTCCAGAGATATAATATCCAGTTTCTTACTGGGGTACTGAGTTTAGTTTTTTCAAATACACGAGTTCTTGTGAATTTGTTCCATCGCAAAGACATATAAATCCCCCTCCATCCACTTCACATTTTTTCTGAGCAAGCAGAAGTTTTTAAACATAGGCCAAGGGAAAAGTAATAGTAAGCTGTATGTAGAAGAGACAGGTCCACAAGTAAGATTGAAAATTTTTCAAATTTTTTTAGTCTTGGCACTAGTTCTCCTTACTGGTATCAAATTGTATTTCCAAATCTCTCCAAAATCTTCTTCAAAGTGTTTTTCAAACTTATATCATTGTTTTTTTCAAATCTTTATCTAAAAACTACATATAATACTGCATTTAAAACAACAACTATGGATACCTGCAATTGCCTGGCACGAGCTGAAACTGATTGTCACTGGTGGAGGTCAGGGAGGTCAGCAGTGACCAATCAGATCACTTGTTTACTAATGAACTTGCCAAGCAATTGTAGGTTTTCAGAAATTCTCTCTTTTAGACAGCATTATTCACTCTATATCATCTGACTGAGTTTCAATCTTAGGTAAGAGCTACAAACTATCAATTTTCTATCAACTCCCCATGACTTTTTGAAAATAATACACTTAAATATTGTTGAAATCTCCATCTTAACAAGTGGTCTAAGTAAGAGTTGTCTCTTCTATATACGGCTTACTATTACTTTACCCTTGGCCTATGGAGTTAAAGGTGTCCAAAATTTCAGCAAGGTGTCAGTCACTCATGTTAACCTTAGCTTAGGTTCCCAAGTTGACAGGCATGTACTTACCACTTCTTTCTCGTATTTTTTTGGACGATTCAACATAATTTTCAATTCATATTCTGAACCAAATTTCTCATCATGATATTAAATGGGCAAAACAGTGCAGTGTAAAAAGTTTTGAAAAAATCAACATGGCGGGAGAATCAAATGAAATTCTTGGAATTGACGTTCACGTGTCATCGCGTCATTGAAATTACTAGATTTATCTGAGATTTATCGAGCCTCTGAATAACCAAACATTGGAATACTCACTTTCTTAATCACTCTTTCGCTCATTTTAGATGAGAACAGGTAGTTAAATGCAGCATTTTTCAAAAATAGCAGACGAAGCAAATATTTTCGTACCGGGTACCCGGAAGTTACGTAGAAACTGCGCATGCGCAACGTACAACAACAATGGCAGAGGAAAAAGAAAATTTTGCATACGATCCCGGTAAGAAAATGCTGAATATCTTGGATACCATATTGCTGATGACTGAAGATATAGCTTCTATGTAATCTGCGAAATAGAGAGATAAGATTGAAAATAGTTTGAGAGTGATGCAATGTCCTGGTAACTATCAGTATCAATTCATCAAATTATTTTCAATAATTTTCATGAAAATAGATTTATAATATTTTTTCTGCAGAGCTCTGCAGGGCATGACTGTCTGAAGTTTAAGCTTACCTCTTTCAACTGCTTACTGATCTGATAGAACAGACTTTGATCGCCCCATAGGTCACTAGAGAATTGTGATGGATGAGACTGAAATCATCTGTTGAAAGCCCATGTTACTTCACACCTCCAAATGTTCCCTACTTACTTCGGTCCAAAGCCTTCTCTATATTCCGGCTTTGAGGAGGAAGATTGAGCTGCCTTAGTATTATAAATATTGTAAATCATTGTGTCACACGCACAGTAAATATGGCATAATAATATGAAATATACCTTTATGTATAGATTTGAAGAACATCAGCTCACATCCCCGTCTGAATCTATTGTTATATTTGATTTCAAAACTGCGAGAATAATTTCAAATTTTATTCACGTCCAGAACTGGAAGCCATTTTTAGCTACAGCGAGAAAATTTCACCATGTGTCAAACTCCGAAATGAAAATTTGAAATATCTAAATCCAGACAAGCAACGCTTCAACCTAAATATGATTAATATTCTTAAAAATATTTATAAAATTTATTAAAAATGAGTTCTAGGTGCATGTAGCACCTTTTCTAGAGTATATACAAAATCAATGAAGTTTCGTCTAGCTGTAAGCTAGAGACTCGAGTAATTCCCTACACGGTTAATGGGAAGTTCTCCATACATATACTAAATACTCCAGGTTTGGCATTTTGAATCAGTAAAAAACGGGCTCCGCCATGAGATGTTGTTATTCACTGACGTACATTACAACTGGCAATAAATTCATAATCCGTACTATCTAGACTTCAAGATGTCCCTACAGTCCTACTAGGGACATCTCGCATACCATTGAATAGATTGTCGCAGAAATCGGCACTCATAAATGTTAAAATTATGATGTAAGTTGGAGACCTACCCTTTTCACCAGCCCACTTCTTTCCTGTCTCATTTATACAGTTGAAATTGTAATTCTTAAGTTCTTAATTATCGTATTTATCTCCTAATTACTCATGAAATACCAAATTACTTCACTAAAAACGTAGCAGAGTGATTTCGGAGCTTTCAAAGATAGGGTAGGTGCATAGTTTATTTGCAGTTTGCTGCTGCGTCATTATAAATATATGTATGCGTAATGGCCATGATATCATGGCCATTGGGAAAGGCTAGTACTATCGGAAAGTTTATACTTACAGTGCTGATATAAAATAATAGAGGGTGAGTTTTCAAAATAAACAGAGTGCTCCTACCAAAATGAATTTGCCTACATACCCCTGAGACTCTTATCTGATAAATAGAATGCACAAATAAAACAAAAGTTTTGCTATTATTGGTGAAAAGTTCTCTTAAAATTTCGAAGTGATTTTACCTGTTAATTCTGTCATTGGTTCGCCATTTTGGCGGAAAATACACTGAAGCGCAAACTCCATGAAACGAAACGAAATCACTAGAAAAAACCATGGCACACATTGTGCGCATGTGCAACAAAGTTTAAACCAATCAGATTATTAGATTTTTTGCGCACATGTATTATTTTCTTCTGAGCACTTGCCATAAAAGCTATCCACAATAAACAAACCTGGCAGAGACTACCCTTACTTCATTTTAGCGAAATTTCAGCCCAAACTTGTGACAAATGCATTATGCATACGCTGGTATGAAGCCTTGGAGACACTCATTTTGGTAAATATGATTTATGGTGTGTACTTTTCTGCAGTTTGTCGGAGTTTGGGACATTAATGTTAGAATTCAAGAAAATATGCCTATTATACGACTTATCAATTATTTTGTATCAGCACTATATATCCCGTTCCCCTGTTCTATGTTTTGAATTTTTAAGTTATGGAATAAGACCAAATCTTGCGATTTAAAATCTGAAACGGGAAAATTGTTCAAAATGGCAGCATTTGAATTTGTAATTACGACATCCTTTGATTGGCCTATTCACTCACGACAGACGGAGCGAGTTTCAAAAGCAATATTTCCGATTTGGTTCATTATTTGACCGATAAAGCCAGTTTGAGGAGAGAAAAAATTAAATTTTTCCTTGAAGTGTTATGTTAATGTTTTAGGCATGCCAGGAGAATCATGTAAACAAAACAAGTCAAAAATAATTTTTTAATTTACCCTATTTTTCTTTTTTTCAAGCTTCTTTCCGCACTTGTAGTGTAACCTATAGATAATAGTGGTGCAACTCGAATGCCAGTACTCGCCACTCACTCGTTGAACCTGTCAAAGATAGTTACTCGAGTACGTTTTTTCAAACTCGAGTAGGCATGTTTTATTATGAAGTGTTTTAAACCCCGGGAATGATGATTTTTTTGTATGCAATGAACGAAATAAAGTATCGATTCCGGAAACAAAATGAAAATATTTAAAAACAAACAAACAAACACAATTGTGGCATGAATAACTACATTTATTCTCACTAAATTGATACAAACTATATATAACATCAATCACGCGGTAGTATCTCTTCGGGACGTATCGAAACCACTCCGTCCCGAAAAACCGTTAATTTGAATTTAAAACCTACCCCAGTGTTTGAAAATCAAGGATTGTGAGTCTCACACTTCACCGTTTTTCTTCAAACTTGTTCCGTACAAAGCTTCAAAGAAATACCTTTCAGTCGATACATTGTTTTCGTGTACAAAGTACCTCGTTTTAGCGGCGTTTTGGTCCCCAGCTACGAGATAAAGCAAATTTTCATAACTTTCAACTGTAAGTCAAGTTATCTCGCCAGTCTTTTACCCATTCTCGCTCATAATTTCAGAATGGACTCCCATTACAACCTTCCATCGCTACGTTTTGATTTTTGGGCATCAAACGCAGCAGTTTCTAAATCATCCACACATCTCTTAAAAGTTGACTAATACGTCCCGTCACCTTCCACTACGCCCCGCCGAGTCTATGACTACAAACGTGGAGTTGATACGTTTCTTCAGGTTCAACAAAGTTATAGGTTAGGGTTGTCCAAATCTGCAAAATTTTCCAAAAATCTGTCATCTGATAGATTCTAGTTACCAATTGACTCTTGGTACAAATATTTCCACTCTAGACCCCTGGGAAATTTTGCCACGCGTCTCACTTGAAGTTTTGTTAATTTTGACAAATATGCCGTTTTCATAAATGGTTTATAACTCAAAATTAAACTGTTGTATTTCAGGAATATGTATTTTTTCTTCATCATGTATGATTTTCAATAACCCTACAGGCACCACTTTTTTTAGCTAAATCCATCGGGAAACTTTGCCACGCTTAATTTCAAAATAACGGAGATGTTATCAAAATTGAGCAATATTGGCACAAAAACGTTTCTAGATTCATATAAAGAATGCATCAAAATACAACACTAATTGGTATATAAACAACATCTACTGACTTGGTCTGATAATGTAATATAAAGATTTTAACTGTTGTGTGTCAACCTTTCTTCTGTATGATTCCATTGGATTATATTATGAAACGTGTACCATATAAAATGATACATGTTTCTAACGTTATGCTGAAAATAATATAATTGACATCACCCGTCCTTTCGCATTTTAACATTTTTTCAAGGATAGGGCACTTTAAACGTTTCTTAAAAATATTTTCAATTGTTCAGTAATTAAAATCTTTATATTGCAATATCGGGAAATCTAAATTTTAGGGAGATTTTGGACCACCCTATTATAGGTATATTGAAAATGGACAAGAATGGGTAAATCTTAAAACACAATCCAATTGGTAATTAAGAATCGACAATGGCAACCTCCAAACGGACACATCGATGGACAAATTGTTTTAGAATGCAACTCTACGTGTATAGTGATAGACTCGGCGGGGCGTAGTGGAAGATGACGGGACGTATTGGTCAAATTTGAAGAGATGTGTGGATGATTTAGAAACTGCTGCGTTTGATGCCCAAAAATCAAGACGTAGCGATGAAAGGTTGTAATGGGAGTCCATTCTGAAATTATGGGCGAGAATGGGTAAAAGACTGGCGAGATAACTTGACTTACAGTTGAAAGTTATGAAAATTTGCTTTATCTCACAGCTGGGGACCAAAACGCCGCTAAAACGAGGTACTTTGTACACGAAAACAATGTATCGACTGAAAGGTATTTCTGTGAAGCTTTGTACGGAACAAGTTTGAAGAAAAACGGTGAAGTGTGAGACTCACAATCCTTGATTTTCAAACACTGGGGTAGGTTTTAAATTCAAATTAACAGTTTTTCAGGACGGAGTGGTTTCGATACGTCCCGAAGAGATACTACCGCGTGTCAATAACATATAGAAGAAACGAAGAAATTGTATCTATTTGGTCTTCAAACAGTTGACTAGGTGAGTTTTTTATTTTTTTTAATTTTTCCCTCATTTTTGCGAGTGGTACTCGATTACAGTGGCATTTTCACACTTTCTACTCGAGTAGCATTTTTCTTGCGAGTTGCACCACTAATAGATAACATGGTGGGGGGGGGGCTTCTGTTCACTATGCTACATCACCATCCTCCTTTGGTGAAAGTCTATAGGTTACATGTATCAGCTGCTTCTGTGTTGATTAGGACTTGCCTTTATCCTTGAGTCAACATATTTTACTGAGAAATCAAAATGGCTGTTTGAACTACCATTCCAATCTATTCCTCACAATCTGAAATACAATATCTCACAAAAGATTCATGATATGTTATAAATTGGTGAAGTTATAATGGATTCAAAGTGCAATAATGCGTGAAAAATGTTTAAATTCTCCCAAATGATAAAACCATTCTTAAAGAAAAATAATGTATTGTAAAAATCTTTTGTTTTCCTGAAATAAAGTATGCACTTTGGGGATTTTTGAAAATAAACATGAAAAGAAATGACATAAGCCAGAACATAGGCTTTCAACAGAAGGGTATGTAACTCTGTTCTGAGAACTGCCATGCTTCCCTTTTTTTATAATATTTCAAAGAGTTTTAGAAAAATGATTTTAGTATCATCTTCTCACTCGAATGTCCACTCGGGGACAAAAACAAGAACTGAATGACACAGAAGCAGCTAATAACTAATAGACTATGGTAAACCAAATATTACATCAAAATGAGCAGTGCCATGCTTCCCTTTTTTTGATAATATTTCAAACAGTTTTAGAACAATGTTAATGATTTTAGTATCATCTTCTCACTCGAATGTCCACTCGAGGACAAAAACAAGAACTGAATGTCACAGAAGCAGCTAATAACTAATAGACTATGGTAAACCAAATATTACATCAAAATGAGCAGTGCCATGCTTCCTTTTTTTGATAATATTTCAAACAGTTTTAGAAAAATGTTAATGATTTTAGTATCATCTTTGCACTCAAATGTCCACTCGGGGACAAAAACAAGAACTGAATGACACAAAAGCAGCTAATATCTAATAGACTATCATAAACGGAGAATGGAGGTGTAGGGAACATTTGGAGATATAAAGTAAGCAGCTGATTTCAGTATTTCAGTTTCGAATTCAGCCATCACAATTCTCTCTAGCAGCCTAAAGAGGGCAAGCAAACACTGCTCTTGAAACCAGTTAGGCAGCCTTTGAAAGAGGTTATATGAAGTGTTCCAGTTTTTTCGCAATTTCTAATCCCCAAAAAAGACACAAAATGCACAAGCAGATAGAAAAGTTCAGAAAAGTCTTACTGTACATTCACGGGGGTGGACCTGGAAGCTGACAAGGATGGATGTGGGGGGGGGGGTGCAAAAAAGATGTTGGTGTTTTGGATCTATTCTTTTCCAAAAATTGGGTTGATTTTCTAAATAAGGTCATATCGATACCCATCTTTTTCATAATGAGGCCTGTTTTTGGTCTAAACTCTCCAGTTGTTATCTCACCATCTCAAATGATTGGCGCTTGGCATCTGTAACAAATGTCAGGTGGTGACAGTTTGCAAGTTAATGCTAAATGCAATCTTTGTCATTTCAGAAGTGAACTATGATGAAGCGACTCTTGCCCAGCAAAAGAAGATTGAACAACAAGTAAGCATTTATTTCCTTAATTAGTAGTACATGCTGCATGCTTGCCAAACTACAAGTAAGCATTAATTTTATTTAATTACAGTTTTGGTGATTAAAAGACACATACCTGTGATATATACAATTTTTTATACATGTCACCTAATAGGGGGAATGCCCTTAGAATTTAAAGAACAGATTTAACTACATATATATATATTATATTATATGTATATATTATTGTAATTATAATATAATAATAATAATGTAAATAACTAATGTCACGTTTGGATTGCATCTTTTTTCAGATTGTGACAGAGCAGTCACTAATGTCACATTCTGTTGCATATTTATTTCAGATTGTGACAGAGCAGTCACTAACGTCACATTCTGTTGCATCTTTCTTTCAGATTGTGACAGAGCAGTCACTAATCAGTGAACGTGTTGACTTCTCAGAGCTAGAAGATGAATATGCTAAAGATGAAGTGTTTCAGCTAAAAATCAAGGTAATCAAAAGAGATAACTAATACCTAAGACTTATATTTGTTAGTCTCAGCTGTTACTATATTTTTTTTTTCAGCCTTATTATACAGATTTGTTAGCATGCAATTTTTCACGCTCTAAAATTTAAGTGTGTAGGGCTAAGATTATCTTTTGAAATTGGAAGAGAGATAATTTTAGAATTGATACAATTTCATTTGTCGTGTCCCTTAATGCGTGTACCTGCTTGAGATTAGTCTTTGAAATTGTATAATAAATTATTGAAAATTAGTATAATTACTGAAATTGTATAATAAATTATTGAAAATTAGTATAATTACTGAAAATGGCAACCTTGTCGAATAGGCAAATGCCTTTTGAGTTCCACATTTTTTCAGCACAATTTTTCAATAATATACGAATGACTTGTTGAATTTGAATTTCTTAAAATAGTAAAATAAGATGATGAGTTTTTCAGGATAGAACTAAAAATAGGTGCAGCAACTATCAGAGTTCATATTTTTGTTTGCATACATTTTATCTACATGCTTCACAATTTGGCTTGCTGTCTTATATTTAACACTTATTGTATATATTTTTCAGGATTTGAAGTCTAAATATGCATGTATGCGGAAAATAAGAGGGGATGGCAACTGTTTCTATAGGGCATTTGGGTTTGCTTACATGGAAAAACTTCTGTCTGACCCAACAGAGTTTAAAAGGTACTGATAAAGTCTATATTAACTTAACTGGACATCTTTGAATAAACACATACCTGCTTCACCTTTCCAAAAGAAACACCAAGACTCATACCATTTCCTTAAAAACTTTAAATATCATATCTCATTAAATAAACCAACCCATTCAATATCAATAACAGTCATAGCTCTGCTAGACTTTGGTTGAAACTATGAGTAAAGATTATGAAATATGAATAAAGTAAATAAAACATATAAGCACACCCTGCCTCTTCATTCTAAATGGGTAGTGACATCCTGAAACTCACATATTGCATGTAGCCAATCTATAAAAGCATTGTATGGTACTGTATCAAGTAACGTACATGTACCATGATTTCATAGTGTGAATCGAGGGTGTATGCCGGTGAAATGATACTTTAGAAATGAAATTTTCTGCAATGTTATACTTTACCATGGCTTTCTCTTGAAGTCCATGGCTCTATACATGAACATTAAGTTACAGTTTATAAACCCTGTTTCAGATTTCAAGCTGTTGCTAGGCAGAGCAAGGATGACCTTGTAGCTCTAGGATTCCAACAATTTACAATAGAAGATTTCCATGATACTGTAAGAACATCAAATAAACTGATTTATCAGATTTATCAGGAAAATGGTGAATTTGATGAAGATATAATAATATATTTAGTTAATTATATAGTTAGTAAATTGTTAAGCCAGGAAAAAATTCTAGTTTTATTGATGAAATTAGCAAAGAGGTTTATCAAGTTGATTTACAACACAAAATAGCAATGCAAATTAATTAAGATGACCCCATGAACCCAGATCTTTTTATGTTTTCAGTTTATGGAAGTAATTGATAAAGTTGAACAGAATTGTTCATTAGAAGATCTGCTTCAAGTATTCAATGACCAAGTTTACTCTGACTACCTTGTGGTTTATCTTAGGTAAGTAAAGCTACAAATAAGAATTAATTTATGGAGTGTTTTCTTTGTCTCATTCATTTTTTTCTTTTTTTATGTTCATAAAAGGTAGGATATGTAAATCTATGATTGTCTCTTGACAGAAACTTGCCAATAACGCAAATGCGAGTAGGTAGTTACCAGTTTCACCACCAGGTGGCTCGCTCGGGTCAGATAGCATGGCGGGTATAGTAGAAAGTTCCCTTTAACTTAAATTACATCTGTTTTAGTGGTTCAATTTTTTTATAACCCTTATGCATCGAATAGTTATGCAAATTGAAATATGTCCAGTAAAAAAAATGTTATCTGTCCAATACAAGAAAAGATATTTCACTTTTTGTGATTTTCTAATATGGGGTCTATGGGGAATCAACCTGAACTAGAAGTCACATTTTCAAAAAAATTAAAGTTTCAAAGGTGATAAACAATTTTCGAAACCATATTTCTAGATGTACTTTTACATGTAGATTTCAAATATGACATCACTTTGACTGAATTTTGAATGTTTAATGATGTAAATCAAGATCATTTCTACTCGCATCTAGGCTATTAGATACATAGATTTGCAATGATCCAGTGACTCTCAATGGCTCCTTAGGCTCGCTTGTTCTGCTGATTCAAGAGACTTTGAAATAAATTATTTATATTTCAAAATATTACAGTAATCTAGATTTTAAATTCAGGAAAATTCACCAATGATCTGAATGTCGCTTCTGATAAATATTACTACATAACAAAATTCAACATATTTACAGCAATTTGTATGTTAGCTGGTTCTCTAGTATCTTGCCCTTCCTCTACTCTATCTGATCTCCATTGCTACTTAATTTGAGAGGATGATTCATTGAAGCAGTTTTAATCATGATGAACCTTCTGACTTTCAGGTTACTAGTGTCAGGGTATTTACAAAAAGAGAAAGATTTCTTCATCAATTTTATGGAAGGTGGCCAGTCTGTGAAAGAATTTTGCAATCATGTGAGTAATATTTTATACTAGTCTTTACTTGGAATATTTGAATGCTAAATGTATCTCACAGTGTAGAACTCATTAGCTCAGTATTAAAACAGCTCTGTGTTATATCAACTCAAATTCAATTGATGTTGGAATTTATACCATACCTATCTTAGTACTATATCCATTTGTTAGTTAAAAAGGGTAATTGTTGTGGAACGATTACACTCCTTACATTATCCTCTAAACTCAATATTACTCAATTTTGCCATCTTCAATTTCAGGAGGTTGAGCCAATGTCAAAGGAGAGTGACCACATACACATTATAGCACTGACATCTGCAATAGATGTTCCTGTGCGCATAGAATACATGGACAGAGGAGGTGATAATGTTAATGCACATGACTTTCCTGAGGGTTCTAGTCCCAAAGTTACTTTAATATACAGGCCTGGACACTATGATATTCTCTATACCCTATAGCCATATATGGCAAGGACCACTGTAGCCAATTAGCCATATATGGAAAGGAATACTATAGTCATATATGGCAAAGAGCACTATATAGTCATATATGGCAAGAAGACTATAACAATATATGGAAGGAATACTATAGCCATATATGGCAAGGAGCACTATAGTCATATATGGCAAGGAGAACTATATAGCCATGTATGAAGAGGAGCACTATAGCCATATATGGAAAGGAGAACACGAACCATATATGACCACTATAGCCATAACTACCAATGGAAGACTACAGAAACATATGTGACAATATAATGTCAATCACCTTGTTTAGATATTGTGGCCATACGGAAACTGTTGTCATGAAGAACTTTGAGTTAAACTCAAAAATTTGACTTAAACTTTTAGTACTTTGCATTTTGTAAAGAATACAGAAAAATATATTAATTTCAATGATTATGTGAAATGGAAATACTGAAATATGTGCAATGAGTTGTAACTATAAGAAAACATATATTTGGTAAAATACATTTAACAGATATTGATATGAATATCATGTTTTTATTTTACCTTAAAAATGTATGATATTGTCAATTTGCCTTGGTTGGCAGGTGGCACCTCATTTTCTTGTCTGCACGTTCCTAGAAAAATCTAGAACTACTGTGCAAGTTGAATTTTTTATGTGGCCAATTTTGAATTTTGTGTATATTATTTTACTCTATGCCCACTAAACTTCATAATAAAATCAATAAAAACTTCTAAACATTAAAAGCTTACTCAAACTGAACAGGTGCTTTGTAAAGTACTTTGCCAAACCATTATAACCACTAGCCCCATTTACACAACACGCCACATTCCAAGACATCTTGGCTAAAATGTTTTAGAAAAATGATGTTGAGTTTATGTCACCATTTTCAAGACGTCCTACGAAATGTTGTTGAGTTTACACCTCTTTATCTAAAATGTCTCGGAGATATGTAGATATACATGTAAAATGAAAAAAAGCAGTTAAGTACTGGTTGAAAGATGGTTCAGTCAATATAGCTATTCCTTTCCCGCTTCTATACTATGTGCTAAAGAATGCATCGGTTTCACAAAAATATGTCTTAAAGATAGCATTGTTAAGAGCATGAAAGAGAACAGGAAGATTTTGTGCATACATTAGGATTATGATAGATCATCTTAGGGCTCTAGTGTAAATCCAACAACTAATAACCTAAAAGGGAAAACTAGTATATTGAAATTATTTCTGTTTTATGATAAAGTTCCTGTTTTAACCCACTTTAATTTTTTATCGATCGAGTCTTATTATGGTCAATGAATGCAAAAACACTTTATTTACATCTTCAGAAATTCACAACTGACTGACTGACCTGTAAAATATCTCAAATAGAAAAATGTTTACTAAAAACCAAAGTTTTTCAACATTTATATGCTGACCAAATACCTGAAACATTGTGCTCTTCGTGAAACAGATAATATTCTCCTTATATTCAATCGAGCCCAATAGATGTCACACCATACATTTTCTTTAAAGAACATGGGCGTACCCAGGATTTTTCCAATTGGGGTATGTCTACATCTAATTAAATAAAAAAAAAAAAAAAAAACTCCATCAACATATGTAGCTGGTACTTGAAACCTAGCTTCTCCACTTCATACGCCAGAGAACACATTTCTTTACACGATTCTCCTTCTTCCCAGCTTGGAATAAAATCATGTTAAGTATTCCCAGTTCTCAGCACCATTAACGAAATCCTCGGGATTGGTTCAAAAAGGTGGTGCACCCAGTGTACCCCTCCTTCCGGTACAGAAACACCCATAATGGTGTAATTTCTTCCTCAAAATTACACAATGAATAGTGCTCATGTTCATGTATTCCAAAAATCATATCTCTAATCATGGACGTATATCATCGTTGATATACGTCCATGCTCTAATGAAAGATGTCACTCTGACTATTGTAGGGGATTTCTCGAAAGTGAAAGTGATTTCCCAAGGATCTATTTTCATAAAAATCTTTACCTTCTATTAATTTATAAATCTTGATTTTTAATTTATGAGTCTGTATCGCTTAACTATCAAAAATATGAAGTTTCAGTTATATGATTAAATTTGCTTAATACAACATATAGTAATTCATTGCATTTTTATTCAATAGAACTATATCTTTATATATCATTACGCAGCAGCAAAGTGACTGGCGGATATATAAACTAGTCAACATGGAGCTCCTCGGTCAGAAAAGTGCTGGCAGAAGAATCATGAAGTTCAGAAGGATCCCCCTTGTTTTTGCACTTTTCTTTTGCATTACCGATGCAGAACATTGGACAAAATTACGGGTAAGTTTAAAGTTATTCAGTTGAACTATTCACTTTGAGCTAATAGCGCATATGGATTCAATAAAGTCCAGATCAGAGTTGTACAAAACTTTTTTCATATTTTTTTTTAGGCTACAGTTTTAGGATTGATTTTTTAGATTTCGATCTAAACCCTAAGATTAGGACTAAAACTAATCTAATAATTCATATAGAGTATCTTTGTTATCTTGATAATTTAGTGTGTGGACATATCATTCGTCTCTTGTTGTTGTTGTTGTTGTTGTTGGTATCCTTATAGCTAGTGCTTTTATGTTGCCTTCTTCTAAGGCCACTGTATCGTGGCCTTCGTCCAAAGATAAATTCCTGCATGTATAACGGGTCATGTTGCAATCATTAAATTTGAAATCAAAATTCCGCAATTTTTCCACATCACAATTTGAATTGCGAGTTTTGGTCTTATTACTTCACCAAAAATTCCAAAACACACATGAAGTGATCAACGTATTAGTTCACATCTTCTGGATCGCTAACTTAGAATTTACAGCCAGTTACTAATGTCAGACATTAACGACATTTCGTCCAGTTTTCGAATATCGCCATTTTTCTTGGAGCCATTTTGTTTTAATTTTAGACGAAATCATACAATATCTCATCAAGGAGCTGAGCCGGTCCCATTTTAATCAATGATTTATTTATCTGGCGATTTTTAGAATATTCAATAAATTTATGACACGCCGGACACGCCATTTTCAAATGGAGTTTACAGTATTCCAGATAAATGAGATGAGACTCGAGTAACTTTTATGTCACTTAATAGTCTCTCTGTGCTGGTTTATCATCTTGTCTGGCCTTTTTCTTGACTGACGTCATCGTCCAACATTGCAAAAAAGTTAAATCAAGTAGGCCTTACTGTATTTGCACAAAACCATCTTTAGAGAGATGACTTTGGATATCTTGATATTCCCAGTCAATGTTAGGGTCTTTGACACAAATTAATGATCTCGCTAATGCACATGCTTGTCAACTGGAAGTTTAATCTCTTGGCACGTAAGTGCATTGGCAAGATCATTCTACTTCGTCAATACATTTCTTCTACCATGACTCTGTATAATGATATGGTTAGTATAAAGATACTCTAGGATGTTATAAATAAATGAAAACAATAGGCAAAGTAATGGAAATCATAGATGTAATATGGAAAAGTTGGAAAGTCCCTAAAAAAACAGGCGATTTTCACCGGTTGTTCTCACAAAATCGCCTGTTGCCTGCTGCTAATGAAACCGCTGAGTACTCTGATACTTGTCTATTTCTGCGTAATAACAAGCCAGCCTACAACCAAAAAAGTAAAAAACAGATATATTCCTTCAAAAATTGAACCTGTGTGACCTGCAATTCTGCCAACAGACAAACTGGTCAATTAAGATTACGGAATCAACGAGACAGTCAAGTCGCAAGCATTTAGGAAAATTGGGAATTATTTTGTATTGCACGAAAGGTTCAATACATACACCCCTTCAAAATGAATAAACTCTTCTCATCCGAAAATGTAAACACTTTGGTCAACGTAGCTTTATATTTTTCCAAGTTCCTTAGTCCCTTTAAAGATCTGTATTATAATTCCAATGGAACTATTCAGAGCTGACTTCGGTAAACTAAGGTGGCAAAAGGTGCATGAGTACTAAGCATGGAAGTTAGACCCAATCTGCCCCGATAAATAAATAAAGCCAGATTTGGGTTTAATTTTTTGAATAATTTCTCTCATACTATCTTGGAAAGATAGTGCTGGTTCCACAAGTTAAACCTTAGTCTGGCATAATTGACTTAATCTTGACTCAATATAAAAATCCATTCTGGTATGCCAGAGCCCCTCTTACCTGCCGTTTGCGAGAGATACATTGTATGTGCTGTATGTTGGTGGACTTTGGAAGGAGAAAGACAAAGGGGGCGCGGCTATCGCGATGATAAAAATCATAACCATAACCTTTACTGGCCTTTACTGACTTGCACATGTGTCCGTAGAGTTGGATAGTCAGTATTTCTATTCCTTAGCTTTAATCTCATCTGTTCTCAGATAGTAATTTGTAACCTCTATCAATATGGTAATTATTTTGAACCTCCCACATTGAGTCCCTGACCCCCCCCCTCCCCCTCCCTTCTTGTCTACTTTACAATGTGGAGGATCACAAGAGATTAAAGCAAGACTAATAACACACCTTGTTATTTTATAGGAAAAACATAAATCGAAGTCCCTGACCACCCAAAGGCTACGACGTGCAGTAGATCTTGGTTCTGATATGCAGACATTTAAACGTGATGAATTAAAACCACTGCTCATTGAAAGAGTTCCAGGGACTCCAGGCAACCTAGCAGCTCAAGAGGTAATATGACATGTTCAATACGTGTACATGAAGAAAGAGTTACAGTCATCTCCCCTGCGTTGAAACAAATATGTGCTGCACTCAACAGCTTTGCATATACCCCAAAATCCATTTGCACCCACTTTAAAATGAGCAATAATTCTTTTAATATAATAGAATTTGTATAAATGTAACAATGAAATTGTCGAGAATCATTTCCAGTGGTCTAGGCTCCATGAATTAGTTTATAGACAGCATAAGTTTTATGCAAATATTCTTCAGTTGATATTGTTAGTCATTAATGATGTGTTTCTGTTATAATACACTCTAATATGGCATAATTGTCTAGGGTTATAGCAATGAACCCAGATTTATAGAAGCTATTGCAAATAACACTCTAAATAGTTAACTGGAACGTTGATAATGGAGATGGTCAAAGTAGAATCCCTTGCAGGATATTGACACCATTTCAATGGCTTCCTAATTGGAGACCCATGTTATTTTCAGGAACGCATAACTCATTCCGTAAATGGTCTACACATCTTTCAGTTTCACAGAGTACACATCAAATGTACATTGAGGGAAAACTATTTTCTAAAATGTATGAATTTAGAAAATTCAGAGACCGACAAAATTGAATTTTCTCATTTTTGTCAAGAATATTTATTAACCTTCAACTAATAATCTAGGTATATTTATTAGGGGTGTCACGGGTCAGATATCTTTCGGGTCGGGTTAGGCAAGAAAAAAGTGAGTGGATCGGGTAATTTCGGGTTAAAAACCAATTTGACTTGCTGTTTAAGCCTGCATTATTGCATTTTATACTTTAATAAAGGGAAATGATAGAAACTTAGCATTAAATCATTCGGGAAGAACCGTAAACTATTCCCCATTCGTAATTTATACATATTCAAGAAATAGGCAAGCCAAAAATATGAAGAATTTTATGATAAATTATGATATTCCCGATTGTTCTGAACCGACCCGAAATTGGTAGTTGTTCGTGACCCGACCCGAGCCTTCTGAGCCAAGATTCAGGTCGACTTCGGGTCAGTGTGACACCTCTAATATTTATCCACTCTTTGTGCAAAACTAAAAGATGTATGAGACCATGTGTGGAATGGGTTATATGTTTCTGAAAAAAACATGGGACTCGTAATTATGACTCCATTGAAATTCCTGAACATACGGAATTACCTTAAGAATTTTTCTATCGATTTTTGTCAATAATATATCAGTTAATAATTCTCTTTTCACTTTGTCAACTGTGCAAAATGACATCACTTGTCTGAAATAAAATTTTTGAGATTTTTCCCAAAAATTTGCATTCTTCAGAGATTTTCTAAATAATGAGCATCAAAACTTGAATGGTAAGAAAGGACTGAAATAATCCCCTTAGGCACATACCCGTAAAGTAAAAAAAACGCTCTTGTAATTATATTGGATAGCCTGATTTTTCATATCTTTAATGTACATAATGGACTAAGTGCATTAAGTCAATAGCTTTGGATTATTACAGAATATAAGGTGCATCTGTCCTAATAATATGCTATATGTTTTAGTACTAATGGTTATTACATTTGCTATAAAACACAAAATTACATGGAAAGAATATATATTTAGCAAGGACTTTGGTTGAATATATATGAAAAGAAGACTTTTTTATTAGATCTTATAGAAATATGAGTTATGCAATGTACTTTATTTCTTTTAAATAAAGAATAGTTGTAACTGGGATAAAATCTGATAGGGAATTCCTGGAATTGTTACTAGATAGAGTAGTACATTATATTGAAGCTCTAAAAGTACAATACTGTATTATGTTTTTTTATTTTCCATCACCTAATTACTCAGATGCAAGTAGGTAGTTACCAGTTTCTCAAAACCACATTTCTAAATGTGTAATTTTATATGTAGATTCCAAATATGACATCAGTTTGACTGAATTATGAATTTTTAATGACTTAAATCAAGATTATTTCTACTCGCATCTGGGATATTCGAATGATTACTATTTTATGATTTGAATCACTATTATTTTGTAAGGCTGCCATTTATACTCAACTAAATGCTCTTCGAGAATAAGTTATGATTGGTACTTACGAGGGTTGTCCCATAAGTCTTGAAATTTTTATTCTAATTCAAAAAGATTTTGATGAATTTGGCTGAAAATTGGTATATATCAAGATCAATCAATTATCTTCAACATGTGACAGTTTCATAACAAAATTATGAACTTGAGTAACTATTATGGTTGCTATGGTAACCGGGGGAGTCGGGGGGTGGGGCAGTAATGAAATATAGTAAAAATGTAAAATGGAGCCGTGGGAGTATTAAGGATTTTAAAGGATGGTATGTATCTTAAATTGTGAATCACCTGTCAAGATTGACAAAAACACTGTATTCTTGGTAAAATCTTATGAAATACCTCTGTGATGTCATAATTTTATTTATTTATTTATTTATTTATTTTCGTCTCACAGCAGATTTATTTTACAGATACTAATAGTACTAAAATGTCATAATAAAAAAACACTGCCCCAGCCAGTGCGGCTTATGAGAGACGTTTCATACATGTATATTAGAAGTATTGCACATATAGTTATGTCAAATGACTGTCGATCAATAATTTGTCACATAGGCTAAATCATTACCCATATAGCATAAGATACAATGTAGTAGTTTCTAAAAAAATAAATAAATACATTAATATTTACTAACTACATAATCTTTGTTTATCACATATTTGTTTGTCTGTGTTTGTACATAAGGAATACAGTTTTAGATACAATAAAAGCCATCTCTGGAGAAGTACTCAGGGTTATAAACTGGTCATTTTTACTTTTGTTTAGGAAGTCAGGGTTGCTGCTTTGAGCTTCTGATATCATAATGCTTCTTAAATCCTCATAGGCCGGACATTCTACAAGGAAATGTTGTTCATTTTCAATTTTATGATCATCACACATTTCACATGTCCTGTCTTCAAGGGGTGTCTTGGGTTTGGTGAATCTCCCAGTTTCTATTTTCAGTGGTAAAACTCCACATCTTAGTTTGGAGAATGCACTTCTTTGATATCTAGGGAGGTTGATTTTTGTATAGCTTTCAGGCTTAAACTCACTTTTGATTGTTTTGTAAGTTCTTAGTTTATTATTTGGTCCTATTTTACTCAGTTCTTGTGTCCATTTTTCTGCATCAAACTTTGAGACTTGTTTTTTGAAGGTTGTCATTGGCGTTGATAAAGTAGTATTTCTATATTTTGTTGATATTGATTTTTTGACGTAAAATGTCCAATTTTTCATTCTATGGGTATCAGCTTGTTCATTTGACCAGTTGAATATTCTTTTGTTTATCCTTGAATTTGTCATTTTATCCAGCCTCTGCCATAGTCTTACTGTTTCAATATCTTGTCGTGATTCCATTGATAGCCATCCCATGTCTCCACGGGTGGCTAGAGTTGGTGTTGTTGTTTTAACTCCTAGGAAGAAACGACAGGCTCTGTTGAGAATGGTGTTAATTAGACCATATGGTTTGGTACCCCAAACACCTGCTCCATATAGTAGCACTGGAGCAACCATACTGTCAAACAGCTTGGTGTAGACATCATACTGGATTCCTCCAGTTTCTTTGAATTTGGTGTTGATTGAGCCAAGTGCTCTTCCTGCTGATTTAGCCAGGTGTCTCACTGTACTTGTCATGTCTAGGTGTTCGTTGAACCAGAGACCTAGGTATTTGTATTCACGTGTGTACTTCAACACTGTGTCTTCAAGCATAAAAACATGGTCTGATTGAGGTGTTGTACTTGCTCTGAAGTGTATAACTTTGGTTTTTGTATCATTAATAGTGAAGCGCCACTTATTGCACCATTGTTGTAACTAATAAACTAGCACAATTGCTCAATTTTGGTACAGAGCCACAGCATTTTGAAAATCAAAATGGCAGGGATTTTGTCACCAGATGTTAAATCTTTGCGTGCAGTTGTGCAATACCACGCCTCCTTAGGGCATACACCTACACAAACAAGAACAGCCATGAAAAAGTATATAGACAGTGAACTCCAAGTGCACCTACAATATGGAGGTGGCAGAAGAAGTTAAAAACTGGAGATACCAGCCTGGAAGATGCTCCTAGAAGTGGAAGGCCAAAATCCAGTGACAATCTCATATCACATATTGCAGAGAGTAGGCCTATAAGGGCTGAAATGAGAACTACTCAGTGTAGGAAGATCGCTTAGACTTTGATATTAGTAAGAGTACTGCTCACAGTGATGAAGAAAGACCTTTGGATATCAAAGGTAGCCCATAGATTCATTCCACATATTCTGACAGAGGAGCAGAAAAGGCAACGTGTTGAGCTGAGCCAGGGGTTCCCAAATCCTTAATTTTTACGTCATATTTGTATTTTTAACCTGTTTTCTGCCCCGGGTACCCCCAACATTCCATTTTTAATCATCTGTAACATTACCAAATGATCTTATTATGCTATTAAACTTACAGAGATAGTAGAAATATATCTACGTTAGAAAATGTGAAATTTTTATCATTGTTTCTCAAATATTCTATGAATAAGAATAAAAATTTCAAGACTTATGGGACAACCCTCGTACAGTATAGAATCAAGTGGATTTTCAGTTTTTTAAATTTTAATTTTGTGTAAAGCAACATTGTTATGAGAAAAATTCCATCTGTCAAATTATGGTTAGAGGTTAGGTTATCAATATGTCATTTTCCCAAAAGTTTTTATTGCTAATAGGTGGCGAGTTAGATATTTTTGAGCTGAAACATCAACTTATAAATATGTTTCTAATTTGCACATATAAAATCGAAACCGGATGTTCAATATTTGATGTTGTGATTTTAATTAGCAATCTATACAAAATAAATCTAACTTTATCTAACTCGAGCTATTTTCGGTAATATATTGCTCAATATATTTTATAACCATATCATCTAATCAAATCATTTGACACTAATCAAATGGCCTAGAGGTTGATCACACATCCGTCTTTGTGTTAACAAATTGGT